CTGTTAGAAAAGTACAACTGTCTTAGCTGAAAATGACTCCTATCCTGCCAAAATTTATATTTTTGTCCCGTAGTTCTACTATTCTCACTGTTAGGCATGAAAAAATGATGCATCAACACTATCAATCCCCTTTACAATCTTAAACACATCAATCAGATCCCCTCTAACTCTTCTTTTTTCAAGATATAACAATGTGAGAGATTTCAACCTCTCTTCATATGACAACCCCTCCATCCCAGGCACCCACCATTCTAGTAACCTTTTTGTGAACCCTTTCCAACAATTCAATGTTTTTTCTAAGGTAAGGAGCCCAAGACTGAACACAATATTTCAAATGTGGCCTAACTAGTGACCAATACAATGAAATTATAACCTCTTTAGACTTGTTTTCAATAATTCTGTAGATATAACCTAAAGTCCTATTTGTCCTGCCACTAGCAACAGCACACTGCTTTGATGGCTTTAGAGACTCATCAACTATTACACCGAGGTCCCTTTCTTTCGTGACCCTGTTAAGGTTATTCCCATCCAAAGTATACTTATAATTCAAATTATTATAACCCACGAGCATTATCTTGCATGTATTATAATTAAAATCAATTTGCCATTTATTTTCCCAACTCACTAAATGACCTGAATCCTTTTGTAAATCAGCAGTATCCTCTTCATATTTAAGTAATTTATTAGCCATTTATTTATATTTGTCATTGATCTAAATCAAAAAGAGCAACGGTCCTAAGACTGAGCCTTGAGGTACCCCATAACATTAATCCAGTTTGACTGAACTCCATTTGTAACAACCCTCTGCTTTCTTCCATCAAGCCACTCTTCTATCCAATTAGCTAACTTATTCCCCACACCTATAGAGATAATCTTTTTACAAGCCTTTTATGTAGCACCTTGTCAAATGCTTTCTGAAAATCCAGATAAACCAAATGTATACCCTTACCCTCATCTACATAAGCAGTAACCTTTTCAAAGAATGTCAAAAGATTTGTAAGGCAAAATTTTCCCTTAGTGAAACCATCTCGACTATCCAATCAAATTATAAACTTTGTTAAATGACTTTGCAAAGCATCTCTTATCAGACTTTCCAAAACTTTCCCTATAACTGATGTAAGACTAATGGGTCTATAATTACTCTGACAATTTTTATCACCCCCCCCCCCCTTGACAAGAGGATTAACTTTAGCTAATTTCAAATCCGCTGGTACCAGCTCACTATTCAAGGACAAAAATAGTAGCAAGTGACTCACGTATCCAATCTTTAACCTCCTCAAAACCCTTGGGGAAATATTATCTGGCCCAGGAACTTTATTGTTCTTTGAACTTCCAAATGTTTTCTTGACCAGCTCATAATTAATACAGTCATCTTGTTTGATCTCGTTTCCATTTACCAACTGTTCAAGATGTGGATTACTGCTTAAATCTTCGTAAGGAAAAACTGAAGAAAAAGCAAAATTTAATAACCCAGCCATCTCATAATCATCAGATACGAACCTTCCTTTATCAGTCCTCAAGGGTCTTACTCCCATCCTAACATTTTGTTTACCCTTAATGTACTTAAAGAAATCCTTGCTGTTAATTTTTATATTTTCAGCCAACCTTTTGTCATACATCCTTTTTGATGTACTAATTTCCTGTTTCACCAACTTTCTTGATCTTCTAAAATCTTCTAAATCTCCTGTCGTACCAGTCAATTTAAACTTCTTAAGCTTTACTTTAATTCTATTTCTTATACTCTTTGTGAGCCAACCTGGTTTTTACTTTTAGCTACCCTTTTCTTTCTATAAGGAATATGTTTACCTTGAATATCTAAAAATTCATATTTAAAAATTTTCCACATCTGATCAGTATATCCAAGTAACTCTGCTGCTCAAGTTACAACATGAAGGTCATGAATATCTGAATGATGTGTATTAATATGTGTCATAAATTCATTCTGCGTAAACTAATAAAGGTAATGAATATATTCTGGGAACTCGTGAAGGTCAAGCGTATATTCCGCCCACTGATGAAGGTCACGAATATATTCTGCCAGCTGGTGAATGTCATGAGTATATTTTGTCAGTTGGTGAAGGCCATGTGTATATCCTACCTATTGGCGAAAGTCATGAATACATTCTGCCTACTGGTGAAGGTCATGAGTATATTCTGTGTAATGGTGAAGGTCACGTGTATATTCTGCCAAATAGCGAAATTCATATGTACGTTCTGCCAATTGGTGAAGGTCATGTTTATATTCTACCTACTGGTGAAAGTCATGGGTATATTCTGCCTACTGTTGAAGATCACGTGTATAATCTGCCAAATAGCGAAAGGCATATTTGCATTCTGCTAGTTGGTGAAGGTCACGTGTATATTCTGCCTAATGGTGAAAGTCATGAATACATTCTGTCTACTGGTGAATGTCATGTGTATATTCTGTAAAATGGTGAAGGTCATGAGTATATTCTGCATAGAGGTGGCAATCACGAGTCCCCCAGTGGCACAGCGGAATGTCTGCGGACTTACAATGCTAGAAATCTGGTATCGATACCCGTGGTGAGCAGAGCACACATACCCCTTTGTGTAGCTTTGTGCCTAATAACAAACAAACAAACAATCATGAGTTTATTCTGTGAAATGGTGGTCAAAATATATGAGAAAAGAGGTTTTAATGAATAAATAATTAATGTTTAACTTGATTTTGATGAAACTGTTAATACATGTTTATGGTTTCTCAACATTGCGGTTTAAAACTTTTTACCAACATTAAAAAATTTTAGGACATTTTTTCACGAAAGAAATTTATTGATTTTTTATTTTTGCCGCGTTTTTGGTTGCGTTGCTTGGACCTTGGTATGAAATCGATCCCAGCATGCATTGCGCCTGCCTAATTACAACAGTCAAATGGTTGCAGAAAAAAAAGATTTAAATTTGTTTGATATTAAAATAACTCCATGTAACGAGTCTTAAATCGAATTTATGCTTATGATGTAAACAAACAAGTTTTAGAAGTTAGGAGAGCTGGCTAAACAGTAACTCTGAGGGCACATAACGCTAAGAATTTGGTTTCTATACCCGTGATGGGCAAAGTACAGACAATCTTTGTGCAGTTTAGGAAAATGTATACAAAGCAGGTGAATGTACATCGATAATTCTAAAGTTATAACATTTAAAATCATTTTCTTTACCTTTCAACACCATACTGCGAAATATTACTTCCGAGTATCTTTGTTTCGATATATAAAAAAAAAGAGCTGATTCCAAATATATAAATTAAATATTACATTATTGTTTCGGCTTACGTCTTCATGGGGGACACGCAATTTACACACAAACTCAAGAACAACTGATCTAAAGGTTGAGTGTAAATTGTATATCCCGAAAAAGGCCTAAGGTGAAACGATAATGTACTAATTTAGTTTTTAATTTTAAATCAATCCTTTCTTATAGTCAAACAAAGACATATTTCCAGAACATATCAAATATAATTATTGAAATGAAAAAATAATGATAATGCCACGTTTTAAGTTAATAATTTCCCTTTTAGAGACACGTTTTATTTTGGTAACTTAGTGTTAATGAAAGCACAACACTCAGAGAATGTTTTGATTTGTCTTTTAATAAATTGGGAATATTACATCACGCTTTGAAATTATTCAACTGATAAAAAAGGCTTGCTTATGTTTGCTTGTTTTTCAAGTGTTTAACAAAAAATTTCGTTATAAAAATGATGTCAAAGTATTGGTTTTGTTACATTTAGTCTACAGTTTACTTGTGTATTATACGTTTTTCACTTGCCCAGATTAACTCACACGAGATTTGTACCTCTAGTTTTTCTTATACGACTGTTTTATTTCGTTTGTAAATAAAGTAATCGCAGCTTGATTTTTACGATAATACGACTTGACACTTACTCGATGTCTACATACATAATCAACGAACAAGAACAAGTCAAGGCATGGTGATTGACTTGAACTTCTATTAGAGCAAGATGCCGATGATGGTCTATCTACATGATACACTAGATGTCGTACATAGACTCGGTGACCTCACTTATAATTAATAAGAACGCAGGCAATCATGATGGATAACAGAAACCAAAAGTTTGAGAAGAACTAAACCTACACCACAATGAGTAATCACGGAATGAGCAACAATACTTACAGATCTTAACGAAACAAGTCGACCTTCTAGCGTAAGTTCAACTAAATAATTCGTTCAAGATTTTCTTCAATTAACTCCGTCTAAAAGTGTGTGTGAACAATTAAACAATATTTTTGTTTGTTTGTGCGGCGACTATACACGAAAAAGTATATTTTCTGCCTTGCCGATGTAGAATCGGAGATAGCCTAACTTTATCGTGCTGGCAGTCCCCTGGTCTGGTCACGTGATTTTCCAAGACGGGCCTGGAACGTGGGACGCATGTTGGCAACGTGTGTGTGTGTGTGTGTGTGGTAGTTCAGTACGCGACGGGTGCTTGTTTACCCTAGTGGTGGATTATATAGAGCAGGTTTATGATGAAAGTTTTAAAGTTCGATTATTATCGAGTTTTATTTTATCTTTATGTCGCATGACTGTATCTATAATGTAACATGATCATTACAATTTTAACAATATATTGTAGAAATTAATCGTTATAGCTTTCTGTAGGACAACTAGGTTCTAGCGCGACTTTCGTTGCTTTGTGTGCTGGAAAACGAGGCACTTGAGACGTCTCGTGACACGTGCGACGGTGTAACAGACATCATTTGAGCAGACGGCACGTGTTTCTTCAATTTCAGTTGTTGTTGTTGTTCTTTTCATGGACACTTACTGAGTTATAAATTATCTAATATCTGTAGCGTCAACATCCCTTAGTTCGTTTGTTATCGAACTCAGTATCAATGATTTAAAAAGTCAACGTTCAATTTTATTCACAAAATCTTGGTGTTAAAACAAGTCTATGCTGACAAGAAAAACAAAAGTGTTCACACTTCGCACAAAGAAATACTCGTCTCTAAGCCATGTCAGTTGAGAAATGTGTATTGTGCTATTACTACTCCTGACCACAGAAGGACGTACAAATGTAGGTGAGTTACCTATTTGATGGTGTCGTTGTCGAATTCCTAGTTCGTTAAATCTAATATTATATGTCGTAGATGAAAGGAAAGATAACAAAGAATAGATATATCGAAACATATCTCTTTACGTTACGTGTGGGATGCTATACTCATTGAAACAGTTAATGTTTTACAATAGTATATGAAACATTAAATTGTAAGCCGAAAATATCGCTAACAGTGAGGGTACGTAACTGACAAAACAACACATTCTATTCTTTATATTAAAATAACAATAGTATGCTTAATTAGCTTTGCTCATTACTAGGTTAATTTTTTTATATTTTTTTTTTACCTATGTAGGTAGCTTGCTTTGAACAGAAGTCAATAGTAATTAAATGGTACAGTACAGTTTCTACGCTGTTACATGCTTTATTTTAATTTTATCTCTTACTTTTTTCTTGCAGTGGTGGGCCCAGTTTTTTCGCTGGTTCGGTTTGTCCTACTGTTTTCCATTAAATAAACTAAAGTTTAGAAATAGTTCACGCCATGCCACAAAATCCATGTCATGACAAGTTTGTCACTCTTAAAACTCATAAACAAATATTGCAGTTGTAAGGATAGCTTTCTTCAACAATCTATCTGTCAAATTGAGCAAGTAAATGTAAATTTTACAAGAGATACATAATCCACCACTTCCTCTCTATCTCAAGCATATCCAGCTCCTAGGGTGACATACATATTTAAGCGTCTGAGATGGTTTGAATCGGCGGTGTTTAGCTGGCAGTAATATCAATTTCTTACGTTTATAACACAGGATTCTGGCCTAACTTTTAACTCGCTCTCTACATTAACAAGAAAACATTACAAAGAAAATATAATATTTGTCATATATCTGACAATTATAGTGGCATTCAGTTCTGTGATATTTCGGCTAGGTACGTATTATTTGTGACGTTTCGTCTCGTGACATTCTGTCTGAACACAGAGTAAATGACACCTGGGTTTTTGTAATGTGCGAACAGAACTACGTATTGAAACGTGTTTCCTGCTGTATTGATGAGCCTCAAACGCCACTGTGCGAAGTCGGAAACAAAGAGAGGAATGTGATCAACATAAACGTTTCTGATAATACAAAATATGTAGTCACCAGATCGCGCTTTAAACAGTATTCTTTCTCTACATTCCTGAATCCTAGCAACAGAGATTTCTATCTTACTTATTACCTTACAGGTAACTAACTATCCTAAAGCAACTAAATCTTACCTTACAGGTGATTATCTTGAAGCAACTAAATATTACCTTACAGGCAATTGTCCTAAAACAACTAAATATTACCTTACAGGTAAGTATCCTAAGCCAACTAAACATTACCTTACAGGTGATTATCTTGAAGCAACTAAATATTACCTTACAGGTAACTATCTTAAAACAACTAAATATTACCTTACAGGCAATTGTCCTAAAACAACTAAATATTACCTTACAGGTAAGTATTCTAAAACAACTAAATATTACCTTACAGGTAAGTATCCTAACCAACTAAATATTACTTTACAGGTAAGTATCTTGAAGCAACTAAATATTACCTTACAGGTAACAGTCCTAAAGCAAAGATGCCCAAGAGATTTTTTTCGTCGACTTAATGGAAATATTTCTCATCTGGTGAAAGAAATGATAGGTTTAACAGTAACGAGGCGGAGATCTCTTGAATACACACACACACACATATAGGAAGTTATTCAGTCTACACTTGTTTGTGATTTCATTACTCAGAGATATTCATAAATTATATTCGAAAGTACATTTTTAATATCTCATTTACCACTAACTACACAGTTCAACTTTGGAAATATATAATATATTTAATTACTGTGCTGGGGTATCTTAAGACTTACTTAAACTAGATATCAGAAAATGTTCTCACAATGTTGATAATTAAAGAAAGAACACGACATTTCTCTGAGTTAACTCTAAATTTTAAGTGTAAAATATATTGTTGCTATATTCTGTAAACGTATGAGCACTGCTGTGTAAGTGCGTTGGTATTCATGCGCCTGAAAGGCCGAGCACAACGAGGGGTATAACCTCAGGACAACAATAATGCCTTCTTCCCAACTGTGCCTCTGCTTTTACCGAATAAATACTTCAGTAAAGATGGTAGTAATTTGGGACACGTGCGTCCCCTACTTCCGCAATGAAAAGTATAAAAGAAGTCCAGGATATATATATATATGCTAGGGGGCTCCCAAATTTTCCCAACTCGCGACTCTCCTGAGTATCTAGGGAGTTTTCTGGTTGGGGTGGGGCTTACTTTTATAATATATTGAATAAATCGAATAGTTCCCATACTATGTACAGATTCAAGTATTATCTCTATCCTACGTCCTTAGGCAGCAATTAATGAGTCTTCCTTTGTATATATATTTTATATTTTCCTCCTATACATGTTGGAAAAATCAAGGATAGTTCTTACTGAAGAAATCATTCTACGGTAAATATAGGAACAAATTAAGAAAGGTCACATTAAGCTAAACATATCAAGTGAATGCCGAGTTACGTATGCTGATGTTTATTCGGTGAACTACAACTCTAGTGACAATAAAAATGCTCGGATATTTTTACTTAACGAGTGGAGATAAGAGTGTGTTTTTATTAGAAATATTTCGTGAATATTAGACTAAACAGCAGTTACCTAACATAATGCTGACTTGACCCTGAACCATTATATCTCTGACAGTTTTTAGTTTGTTTTAAATAGTAAACGTGGTATATGATTCGAACATATGGACTTAAGTCCGACTGTTCGAGAAAATCGCGTGGCTTTAGTCTGAATTAGAATTTCACTCGTGTTTAAGTGTTTGTGAGAAAAGAGGGGACTCTCTCTTCACATAGAACCGCTCATAACGCCTTCATACTACAATCGTAAGGACGGCATTCTTCATAATCTGTCAAATATTACAAGTCATTACATGTTATTGTAGTTTTTGTAACAAACGAAATAATTTAGAAATAGATATAAGCCATATAAACAAATAAACTATGTTTGTAACAAATGTTTGTTTTAATCTTTTAAAAAATGTACGTAAGTTATGATTTGAGTACATGCAAACTTTCGATAACTTGCAAGTGTTAAACTTTCTGTGACTGTGACCAGGAAAAGTGTGGAATTTTTCGAAGTGACCTGTCTCATTACTGATACGTTTATCAGCAGTTCATGGATATATATATATATATATATATACACACGTAGTTCTTCAGCTTTGGTGCAACATGTCATTATTATATATAATATTTCAAGGG